TCGACTGGAATCAAACCTGTGACTCTTTGGTTCAAGGGCACGCTCTAACCGCTGAGCCAAACCAGCCAGGGCCCATTTTTCTATTTTTATTCTTTTTATAAAAATTTATTTATTTTTGTTACAGATGTTTCTCCTTTCCCCCACCCCAGACACCCTCCTCCTGATCCTGCCCTGCCCCCCAGCATTGTTATCTATGTCCTTTGGGTACGCATACTCCCGCATAAGTTCTTTGGTTTATTTCATCCCTCCCCCCTCCCCTCTCCTCTGAAGTTTGTCAATCTGACCCATACTTCTTTCTATGTCTCAGAGTCTGTTTTGTTCATGAGCCTTTTTTGTTCATTATATTCCACAAATAACTGAGATCATGTGGTACTTTTCTTTCTCTGATTGGCTTATTTCACTTAGCATGATACTTTCTAGGTCCCTTCATGTCGACTCAAAGGATAAGAGATCTTTCTTTTTTTTTTTTATCCTCACCCGAGGATACTTTTTCCATTTTTTTGTACAGATAGAGTGGGAGGGAGAGAGAGGAAGGGAGAGAGAGAGAGAAACATCGACGTGAAGGGACACATCGAGCAGCTGCCACCCACACGACCAACCAGGGCCGGGGACAAACTGCAACCGAAGTACGTGCCCTTAGCGGGAACCGAACCCGGGTCTCTCCGGACTGCAGGCCGACGCTCTAACCGCTAAGCCAAATTGGCCAGGGCAAGAGATCTTTCTTTCTTACAGCTGCATAGTGTTCCATTGTGTATATGTACCACAGCTTTTTTATCCACTCATCTACTGATGGACACTTAGGCTGTTTCCAGATCTTAGCAGTTGTAAATAGTGCTGCTATGAAAATAGGGGTACATATATTCTTTCTAATTGGTGTTTCAGGCTTCCTGGGATATATTCCTAGAAGTGGAATCACTGGGTCAAATAGCAGTTCAATTTTTAATTTTTTGAGAAAACACCATATTGTTTTCCCTGTTGGCTGCACCAGTCTGCATTCCCACCAGCAGTGTACTAGAGTCCCCTTTTCTCCACACTCTCACCAGCACTTGTTGTTTGATGATTTGTTGATGGCGGCCATTCTGACAGGTGTGAGGTGATACCTCATTGTTTAATTTGCATATTTCTGATAATTAGTGAGTTGAGCAGTTTTTCATATGTCTCTTGGCCCTTTGTATGTCCTGTTTGGAGGGTGTCTATTTAGGTCCTCTGCCTATTTTTTAATTGGGTTTTTTGGTCTTCTTTTAGTTATGCTGTATGAGTACTCTATATATTTTGGAAATTAACCTCTTATCTGATGTATCATTGACAATCATGCTCTCCCATATAATGCGTTCCCTTTCCATTTTGATGGTTGTTTCTTCTGCTATGCAGAAGCTTTTGAGTTTGATGTAATCATTTATATTAATTTTTACCTTTGTTTCTCTTGCCTTACACGTTGTATCAGGGAAATTTCTGCTTCATGTGATGTCTGAAATTTTGTTGCCTACATTTTCTTCTAGGATTTTTATGGATTCAAGAGTCACATTTAAGTCTTTTATCTATTTTGAGTTTATTCATGTGTATGGTGTGAGTGGTCTAGCTTCTTTTTTTTTTTGTATGTAGCTGTCCAGTTTTCCCAATACCATTTATTTTTTTTTTTTTTTTTTTTTTTTTTATCCTCACCCGAAGATATTTTTCCATTTTTTGTACAGATAGAGTGGGAGAGAGAGAGAGGAAGGGAGAGAGAGAGAGAGAAACATCGACGTGAAGGGACACATCGAGTGGCTGCCACCCGCACGACCAACCAGGGCCGGGGACAAACTGCAACCGAAGTACGTGCCCTTAGCGGGAACCGAACCCGGGTCTCTCCAGACCGCAGGCCGACGCTCTAACCGCTGAGCCAAACTGGCCAGGGCCCAATACCATTTCTTAAAGCAACTGTCTTTACTCCATTGTATGCTTTTGCCACCTTTGTCAAATATTAATGGAGTATAATGTCTTGGGTCCATTTCTGGGTTCTCTGTTCTGTTACACTGGTCTATACACCTGTTCTTGTGTCAGTACCAGGCTGTTTGGATTACAGTGGCTTTCTAGTATAACCTGATATGCAGCATTATGATCCCTCCTACCTTGTTCTTCTTTTTGAAGATTGCTGTGGCTATATGGGATCTTTTTTGGTTGATATAAAATTTGGAGTGTTTGTTCTAGTTCTGTGAAATATGTCATTGGTATTTTAATGGGGATTGCATTGAATCTATGCATTGCTCTGGGTAGTATGGACATTTTAATGATGTTAAATCTTCCAATCCATGAACAAGGTATATGGTTCCCCTTTTTAATATTTTCCTCTATTTCTTTATTCAATGTCCTGTAGTTTCTGAAAATAGGTCCTTTACTTCCTTGGTTAAGTTTATTCCTAGGTTTCTTAATTTTCTTGTTGCAATGGTAAATGGGATTTTTTTTAGTTTCTCTTTCTGTGAGTCCATTTTCCTATTTTAAAAATGCAAGTACTAATCCTGGATTTGTAAGGTAAGGAGTAGATGGAAATAGATATTCAGAACTAGGCGACCTTTCCCTGCAACATTAGAGCTGGACCACAAAAATTTTATTATTCTTTTTTTAATAACTAATAGAGTTTATTTTGTGTACTACCTATTGAGTGAAAATGGTTTACATCGAGCTCCAGGCTTTCCTGGTCAAAAGGTAAAGAGTTTTAGAGTGTTTCATATAAGTTAAGAATTTTAACATCCTGAAAATTGAATTTGTATATAATATAACAAAGACTCAGAAACTGTATTTGATGAAACTGAATTCCCTGAAAGACTCTTACTAAGCCACTAACCAATCTTTCCAAAGACAAACCAATAATTGATTTTTTTCCAAAGAGAACCCATGGAAGCAATCTCTTCTTTAAGGGACCAGCCACTCTAGGAGAGATTTTATCGGAGAGTTTTAGCACTATTCTTCTCCAGAGCTCCTTGGGAGCGTACAGAGCTGCTCCACAAATGTTTTCCCTCTTATCTCACAGAATCTAAAATGAAGAATGGAGCAGTTTTTACTGCCTTCCACTGTGTTTGGTTATCTCTTATTTGTTTTTCTTTTTGTATACCCCTGATTGAGCTAAACATAATTACCATGATAAATTATGAAATACTACAAAGACACTACAACTAATCTCTTCGAAAATATCTCCTGTTCAGAGTGTAAGTTTATCATAAGTACAGATTTTGGCATTGGTGAACCTCCTTCTTTCTATACCTAATATCTTGCTCTTAACTGAGGTGAACTTCACTTTTACCCCTTTACTGTCCAAGGGCATCTTTCTCCTCCTGGGAAGGAGTATTACTGTGTGTGATCACTATTACTGGAAACACAGAGGCTGGTCTATTCCAGTTTCCTGGAGGGATGGGAGCTACTTCAGGAGGGGCCAGCTGTCATACCACCCAGATAATCCCACCACAGGGAGAGCATTATTTGATGCAACAGTAGATGCCCACCAAAGCCAAGCATATCATTTCTATGTTCTGGAGAAGTTTTACAGGTCTTAGCAACAGAAATTACTATTGCATCTAGGTTTTTCTCTATAGCTAAAAATTACCATTCGAAAAGATATACACTTATAGTTAGTTTTGGGGGACGGGGACAAAAACACTTTCCTTTACTTGGCTTGAGAAAGATGATAAGATTGAGCTGGCAACAAGGAAATAGCAAGCTTCTGAGTTTCTTCACAGCAGTCCCAGACAAAACCCATTGCTGCAGCATGTGCTGCCTGACAAGTCAAGTTACAAGCCAAGGGATGTGCAGATTTATCTGCTGGGAAATCGTTTTGGACTTTCCAGCAGCTGTTTGTGGTGGCTGCATCGTGCTGTCATTGCGGCTGGTGGACTGGGGAGTGTTCAGCAGCTTCTATGTCAGTTTGAATTAACAGATCAAATTAAAGTCTATGTTTTAAGGAAAATGGTAGGAAAAAAGATAGACTATGCCTTCAGTGGCAAATATACCCAAATACTGACCTATTTTCTTTCCTGATACCTTTATTGAGGGTAGATGAAACAGAAATAATTTTTTAACCTTGTATGTATACATACACACATATACATATATTTGATTATATAGAATATATACAAAGAGACAATATATTGTAAAAAGCTGGCATTTGTATTAAACATAAATTTCAATTATATTAAGTGTTACCTTATTTTTACATTAAAAACAAAACTGGAGCTAGCCAAGAATCCCTTCATTTCTTGTCTTGGTGCACTCAGGAAAGGTTTGTTGGGTGGATGGGTGCATATGACCCTTCCTGATACTTACTTGCTGGCTTTGTTGTCATGACTGCCTGACACATATTTGGAGTGCAATGCATATTTCTTAAATGTATGAATGAAACATCAGCAGTATAAATATCTGTGCAGAATTAAGTGGGAAAATAAGTTTTCAGATAAGAGAGGGTTTCGTTGAATAATAGGGGGCTTATACCTTTTAGAATAAATGTGGTGATTGAGAGCTAATCCCCTTCCTGTGACTGAGAGGCAGAAGACCTGGGTGATAAAGAGTGTGATGCTGGTGTCAGAGCTAGAGACTCTGGGGTTCAAACCTGAACTTGTTCATCACACAACTCTCCCTGGAATAGTAGTCACAGAAGTCAGCTTGAGAAGAATGTTTCTACTGGATCTAGTGACTAACCTAGTCTGTGTCAGGCACTATGTTGATGCATTCAATTCTCAAAACACCTGTGAAAAAGGTACTATGTATGGAAAAATTAAGTTTAATTGAGATTAAATTTACTGGAAGTAGTGAAGCTATAGCTTGTACCCTAGAACATTATTCCTTCGATATTTAGGAATATTTAAATATTGTGTAACAATATTGATTTAGAGCTTACATAATAGAAACGGTCTTTATGATTATTGATTTTTCAATGCTAGAAATGTTATAATAATTATTATAATTATTATAATAATTATATGTGTTAAAAGTAGTGTTTCTATTATTATACACATTATGTTTCTCTTCTACAGGGAGAACAAGGTGTTGAAGGCAGCAAAGGAGAAATTGGTGAAAAGGTAAATATCTCTTTATACATACACATTTGTAAAAAGAAATGGTGTTCTTGAAAATATTTTCAAGTGGAATATCTAACTTGTTTTATGCTTTCATATAAGCAACTCAATAATTTTATAGAAATTATTTAAAATATTTGTTTCAAGTCAGGTAGACTTATATTGATGTTTGTCATAAATCTTTCTAAACAAGTTTGGATGGTTGTTATAACTGAACATTTCTAGTGGAATACATCCCATCAATATATAAATGATTCATTTATTAAGCATTATATTTTTGTGTTATAATATCATTGATGCACTAAGGGTCCAAGTCTTAATAAAAGCTTTGTTTAAATATACACCTGGTTTATTTGTGGAATTTTCCCCCAGCTGTTTTCAGGTTTCACATGGTCTGCTTCATCATTTAGACATATAGGAACAATCCCATTCCACTGCCCCACTGCTGGCTGGCAAAGTCAGGTGAGCATTGCTCATGGATCCATTGACTCTACCAACATCGTTCCTGAGGAAGGAGGAATAGGTCTATATTCTGGCCTCTCTGTTTCTGTAGGAGTGATCTTAAACATCCCTTCTGGAGGGGATTTTCCTTGGGTTACTTCAGTATTATTGTAGGTGTTGTGTGGGCAACAGCTACCAGTGAACAAAGTGGTGTCTATCTTGAAGCGACTGGTATCTCGTGATATCAACCTTCCCAGCAATGCTGTAGTCAAATTCTTGTTATATGACTAAATGTAAATGTATGAACTAAGCTCTGACTGTCACATTAGAAAAGGATCCTTTAGCAGGGATTCACAGAAATTTCTACACCCTGAGCCTCTTTTTTACTTTAGATCTTTATGAAAATAGGATTATTACATTTATGTAAAGTAGAAGCAAAGTAAAAAGCAGATGTAAATATCTACTTTATTACAGTATGCAATATTTTTAAGCAATTGCTTCAAATCATGTAATTTAGTTTGCTTTTAAAATTGTCATTATTTTATGCTGTCATTCAAGCCCTAACTTAAAATTTAAAAACTATTTCATCTCTGTTAAATGTGATTCCATTGAACTTTATTGTTAAATATCATTTGATCATAAGAAAGAAACAAGTGGTAACTGTTACACGTGCCACACTTTTCCTGACAGTTCCTCCACAATTTCTAGGTAAAATATTGTCACTTTTAGTTCATTTAATAGTGACATTTTAGGGAACATGGATACATGTAGCAGCAAATCCTCACAAGAGAATAACAGGAAATGGATTCAGTGCTGCTGCTTTTCAATAGCCAGTTGACTAGAAACCAAAATGAATAATTAAGCTATACAACAGATAAAAATGTTAGTCAGCATTTTCCACCCCTCCTATCATGTCTTCCACAGCAACCATCAAAAACAGAAAGCTACAACATGCATAAAATTGACACTAAGTTGCTTTTTCTTTTAAGTATTAAAACTGGATCAGCACCTGTGACACAACCAGAGTTAAAGACTATTCTTATACTAGTACCACAAATGCATGATTTTGCCTTCCAGTAAATTTCTAAAATATTGACTTTTAGCATTAATTATCATGAGATTATAGTCAATCAGACAATAGTAATCATTTGCTACTAGGAACAACAATTATGGCTTCAAACAAATCAAGATCTTTTACACTGGAATATATTTTTACTTATTCATATAAGTCAATTTTTTATTTGGTTGTTATAGTAATTGCACATAGAACTTGAATTAAGAATTTGAAAGGATAACTAACATTTTGGCCATTTAAAATTTGTTAGAGAATTAAGAAAAGCCCCAGTGAGTATATATAATATATATAAACTATTCTTCAGAACATTCTGGGCTCAGCATCTAGGTCATTCTGCAGGGAGCACACATGTCTAGTTTCTAAAATACCACTCCAAAAGGAGCCTAGACTTGATATTCCATTGTGGATTTGACTGCGACCTATGATAGAATAAATGGATTCATAGAGTCTTGTATTCCAAGTTCCCATCCATCTCTGTCATGACAGCTGTGTGAATCTGGACATTTTCCTTGATTTCTTTACCTTAGCCTCCTTTTCTCCTTTTCTATAAAATAAACATAATTCCTACCTCATAGGATCAATGTAAGAGTTAAATAATATCTCATAAATAAAAGGTGCTTATAAATGTTAATATCCCCAACAGCCAAAATATGAAAAATGTAAATATTGATATTATGAGGAAAATAGATTTTATATAATTATGTCTGATATTTTTAATTTGCCTAATTTTCTTTCTAAATACATAAACAAAGGACAAGAGGATATATTAGTTTAGCTGCTGTTGTGTAACAAACCACCCCAAAATATAGTGGCTAAAGTCAATATTCATTTACCTAGCTGATGATTTTGTGGATTAGCAATTTAGACTGAACTTCATTCAGTGATTCTTTGGTCTCAACCAATCTTTATTCAATTTGCTTATATATCTCTTGGCTGAGAGTGGCTGATCTAGGTTGGCTTCTGATAGATTAGTATATTTATTCTTCTCCTTCTCCCATGTCTTGCAGTATAATTCTTAAAATTATGTTAGTGGGACTTAGAGACTGTGTCAAAAGTATTTTTCTATTTCGTACAGATGCTTTGTATGTAATAGGAAAATATAGGAAAAAAATGAAATTCTTAATTGGAATAGGAATAGGGAAATATAGCAAATAATTAAACCAAGAAATGATTTAGTAATTTTCCAGAGTCTCCTGTGCTTATTAATTTTAGCTAAAGTAAAACTGAGACTACAGCTGGAAAAAGCAGGTGGTCAGAGTGGAGATGTATTTTTAGGATTTCACTATCAAAACTTTTTTGGCAAGTATGCCTCATATTAGAAACTAATTGTAAGAATGTTAAATACTGTTATAAATATAGCACTTTCTGTCATCACTGTCGACAATCACCTTACTTCCTGGGAATTCTTTCTTGATTCACCTTGTAGAATTCTACTGAACAACAGCATGTTATGCAGTTGTTTCATTTATCCTGGTAACATGCACAATTTCTACAACATTTAGGAAGGACTTACTTGTTTGATTCGACAGCTGACTTGAAAAATGAAGAGAACAGATGGAGTTGAATAATAACTATGATTTCAAAAATCACAGAAATTTATCTGTGGCCAATGCCAATTGGTATGGGAGTAGCCATGCCAACTTTTAATTAGCCATGGTAGCAGGAAATTGGGAAGTGTAATGGTGATCCCATTGCCAAACAAGAGGCTTAACATTAGTCATTACTGATTGTGTGTCTTTTTTTAATTATTATTATTCATAATGCTAGTGAATAACTCTAGATTATATGAAATATGCTTAACCCTCTATTGTTGCATCGTTAATAGCAGTTATAGAAAAAGTGAAGAGAGGAGAGCCCTGGCCAGTTTGGCTCAGTAGTTAGAGCATCGGCCTGTGGTCCAGAGAGATCCGGGTTTGGTTCCCACTAAGGGTATGTACCTCGGTTGCAGTTTGTCCCTGGCCCTGGTTGGGTCGTGTGGGTGGCAGCCACTCGATGTGTCCCTTTCATGTCAATGTTTCTCTCTCTCTCTCTCCCTCCCACTCTATCTGAACAAAATATCAAAAAATGTCCTTGGGTGAGGATAAAAAAAAAAGAGAGAGAGAAAGAGAGAGACATGAAACGGAAGAGAATAATCATCAAGCGCTCTAATATTTCATAAGTTTTAAATTGTCTTTTAAAGTATTATGTTTTTAATTAATTCTTGTTATAGATGTTTCTCCTTTTTCCCTCATTGTAAAATATTATTTTCAATAATTAAATATTTCACTATATGAATATATTATATTTTATTTCCATTGTTGGAAATTGAAGTCTTTTCTGTTGTTTTAAATTAGTTTTAGGTAGTATATATAACACAGAATTAGCATACTTTGGCAAGCATCTTTGAACACATCTTTTGCTCTTCCTTTAAACTACATTTTAGGAATTGGAATTATTGGGATGAGAATTATGGAAATTTTAAAAATTCTTTTCTTTTATTATTATTTAATTTATTTATTTGTGATACAGATGTTTCTTCTTTTTCCCCCATTGACACCCTCCTCCCATTCTCGCCCCCCCCCCATCGTTGTCCATGTCCATTGGTTATGCTTATATTGGTTATTCTTTGTTTTATCTCTTCTCTCCCCCCGACCCCTTCCTCTGAAGTTTGTCAGTCTGAACCCTACTTCTATGTCTCTGGGTCTATTTTGTTCATCACCTTCTTTTGTTCATTAGATTCCACAAATAAGTGAGATCATGTGATACTTGTCTTTCTCTGACTGGCTTATTTCTTTTAACACAATACTCTCCAGGTCCCGCTGTGTCGTCTCAAAGGATAAGAGATCTTTCTTCTTTTTTTTTTTAATCCTCACCCAAGGATATTTTTTTCTATTTATCTTCAGATAGAGTGGGAGAGAGAGAGAGAGAAACAAAAGGAGAAAGAGAGAAACATGTACGTGAGAGGAACGCATAGACTGGTTGCCTCCCATACGACCCTGACCATGGCCAGGGACAAACCACAACCAAAGTAGGTGCCCTTGGCCAGAATCGAACCCAACACTCATTGGTCCATGGGCTGATGCTCTCCTGCTGAGCCAAACAGGCCAGGGTGAAAGATCTTTCTTTCTTACAGCTGCATTGTGTTGCATTGTGTACATATACCACAGCTTTTTTAACCACTCATTTATTGATGGACACTTGGGCTGTTTCTAGATCTTAGCAATAGTAAATAGTGCTGCTATGAACACAGGGGTACATATATTCTTTCTGGTTGGTGTTTCAGGCCTCCTAGGATATATTCCTAGAAGTGGGATTGCTGGATCAAATGGCAGGTCAATTTTTAATTTTTGGAGAAAACACCATATTGTTTTCCCTAGTGGCTGCACCAGTCTGCACTCCCAACAGCAGTGTACTAGAAACTGTTTTCTCCACACCCTTGCGAGCACTTGTTTGATGATTTGTTGATGGTAGCCACTCTGGCAGGTGTGAGGTGATACCTCATAGTTGT